ATTGCTTTACCTTTATTTGAAGCCCAATACAAGGGCGTCGATCCAAATTGATTTTGACTGTTGACATTGGCACCGTTTTTAAGCAACAGTTCAACAACTCGCCCATGACCTATGAAAATGATTTTGATATAAATATTATGGAACTTTTTTTATCTATAGAAAATCGATTAGAATCACCTTCCTGAGCGGCGGCAATTATTGGTGCAGTTCCAATCTTATTTATGATGTTTACATCCGCACCTTTTTCTATAAATATTTGGACGATACGCTCATAACCTTAATTTGACAAGAAAATAAAATTTCTTACATCCGTAAGATGAACTTTTCTGCACTGTGATCCACAACATGCATTTATTACGTATCTTTTACCGTAAATATGAATTCATGAGAAAATTGAATCTGATATAAGTTTTGCGATACAAATAATTTTTGATAGACTTTTCAATGCCTGTATGATATCGTAAGCATGTGAAAATTTGCAGATGTTATTTTACTTTTCCGCACACCTAGTGTAGGAAAGGTATTGTATTGGGCCAAAAAATTAAAGTCGCCCCAAAACATGTTTTCTATGCATATTTCATGTAGAAAACACGATTAGAGATGATTTTGGGGCATATTAATGTGCGTCGCTGTGTGTGATGTGTCCTGTGGCGTGCAAAATTTGTTAACACAATAAGTCTTCTTACAAAAACTCAATTCAAATTCTGACTTTGCAGGATGATTTGGGACTACTAGGAGACGTGCTGATTAGTTTTTGAGCAATATCTGTTGACCGGTGTAATTTTTTTTGGTCCTAATGGAGTACCCACATTATCCATACATTTGTTGATCATTTTTCAACCATTTTGGTGACACGATGGTTTCGTGCTCAGACATGAAATTCAAAATCTGAATTTACTGGATGATTGGGCACTACGGTTCTGGTTAAATTTTCAACGACATTGATTGATCGGTGTAAAACTTAGACTCTGAAGAGGCACTCATGAGAAAAATGCCTTAAAATGATATTCTTTTGAACGAGAAACCCGAATCTGATGTTAGTTTTAAGATGCGATCAATTTTTCACAGACTTTTCATGCAAAAATCCACAAAAAATTCATTTCTGTATGAAAGACTTGCCTTTGTGGTACCGTAATGATGTGAAACTTTGAACAGGCTATTTTTTTTTATTCAAATTTCTTTGGTGTGATTATTTAATTTGATAAGAAAATAATATTCACAAGTTTTCACGGTGATTTGAGTTACTGCAACCATACATAGACCATAATTTCAGTTTATTCCCAAAATTTCGGTTCCATGCGGAAAAGTTAGCTTGCGTACGGAAACCTCTTTATTTTTCACAAAAAGCTAACATTCTGATAGTTTGAAGAAATTTCAATACAATTGAGTACCTTACATACAAAATTCTCGTTTTTGAGCAAAAAGTCCAAAATTTTGTTCGGGAGGTACCCCTATTATTCAACGAAAAGTCTTCAAACCCTCGGAATGTTATTTTTGTGTGAAAAAAAATAAGCTGTGCAAAGTTTCAGCTCATTACGATATCATACAGGCATGGCTTCCATACAAAAATCCATTTTTTTGAAATTTTTGTATGAAAAGTGTGCCGAAAGTTGTTTGTATCGCAAAACTAACGTCATATTCGGTCTTCTCGTACCCAAAAACCTTCCAATACATATTTTTGAGTGTTTAAGAATACATCTAATATCTCATTTTTCTCATGGATGCCCATGGGCATCACACCAGATATGACACTTTACTCTATCAACCAAAGTCGCTCAAAATCTAATGGTTTCTATTCCTCGGCACCCCCAATCATCCCGTGAAGTCAGATTTTGAATTACTTTTCTTGTTTGAAAGTTATCGTGTTAACAAATTTTTGCGTACAGCGTACAGGGTACAAGGTACCACGCACATACATTCGGACATCGAAAAAACGCTAGATTCGTGTTCCCTGGCTCCTAAAACACCCAGAAAACATGTTTTTTGAGGGTGTTAATTTTTCGACCGATTCCAATACTTTACCTTACACACTGGGTGTGTGCGGAAAAGTAAAATTACATTATGACATTTATTTCAGATTTCACTTGGAAATGGACTTTCTTTCACATATACTGTGCGAAAAAAGACATTGAAAATATTTAAATTAAAATGATTTTGTTACCATTAAAAGAGGCTGTATACAGGGGACTAAAACCGTCGTTATCTTTTAAATTAATGTCAGCACCATTCCTTGTCAACAACTCAACTACATTAGATTTATCTGAAATGAAAGAGATTCAAATATTTGTGCTATTCTATGTATTTGGACAAAATGCAACCAAATTTTGAAACTACCATAGTAAGTTGCGGTTAATAAAGGTGTCCAACTATTACGGTTTTTGATATTAACGTCCACTCTGTTTCTTATTAATTCTCCGATTTTTTGTACATCGCCTGTGTAGAACATTAAACGATTTCAAATGTATTGACCAGTAATGCTTATGGATAAATTTAAAGAATTCCAAAAATATGTCCATTGCTTACCAGTTTGAGCAGCGTTGTGAAAGGCTTGCCATGTTTCTCTGCAGTGAAGGTATTTTAAAGGATTATAATACACAAAATACGATGTTTCAGTTATTTATTGGTTAGAAAAACAAAATACTTACACGTTTTCGGCTCTCCTTAGTCGAGTGGCTGGAATTGATCAAAGTTCATTATTACACGATTGACATGTATGCAATCAGAAATACATTATTTCCACATATATATATCAGCACGTAGCGACATAATGTTCAGCGTTTATTTCACACATGTTCTATATTTTTCGCTAACTATGCGCCAATGAAGGCTATTTTTTTTTTATTGAATGAAAATTACCTGGAATGCCACTTATCATCATGACAGCAAAGTATAGAATGAACACAGTTAATGACGTCATTTTTTATAAAATAAAACGAAATTCGATTTTTCCCACACAACGTAAACAACAAAGAGATAAGCACTGAAATGAGAAACGAAATATATTGTTAAACTTCAAGTTTTCCGGATTTATCGCGGTAGAAAAAGGCAAAATGATTTCGAATCGAATTTTGCTATATTTGGTCTGAATTGAGCTTTATTTATTGCGTTCTATTCGACGTCATCGTCGTGAATCAGATTTTGAATAACGCGTCACAAAAATGAATGCACTGATAACCCTTTTTTTGCTTTCAACGTTTTAGACCGACTTTACACGTGCATTACGATCGTCACAGTTTATAATAAATGAAAACAATCATATGGGGTCGATTTGCGTCAATACATTTCACTTGATTATGAATTTATTAACACATTCAGACACACGATTTCAACAAAATTCGCATTCGATACGATTCAGCGATTCAATAATTATAACTACATCAATTGTAAACAGGTAAAAAATACTGTTAAAAAATACGAATATTTTTTGCACAATTAACTATGATCTTGTTCTGGGGTCGAATGCAAGAAATACATTTTTCGTTCAATATTCGGAAAATGAAGTTCAGATGTAAGGTCCTGTTTATTTGATAGTATCACATTTTAATGATCAAAAATATATTGTGTTTACTTTCATTTCTATTCAGAAATCATTTGAATTGTGTAAAATAGACAAATACACCAAACACTTTCTTTTCAAAATCAACTTATTTTCTATGACCAACGTAAAACAAATGCACTTCGATTGAATGATCACATCAATCTAGATCTCAATACTTATCCGTATAATGCACTTTGGAAACATACAAATTTCTTTTGATGGGCTATTTAACCGTTGAATAACACTTAAAAAAAAAATAAAAGAAATAATTAGCAAATATTGTCAGCTCTGAAATTGAACGAAAACTACTTCGCTTCATCGATCGATCTACATTTATATCATGGAAAAATATTGATAATATGATGATGGTATGAATGGGGTAGAATAAAAACTACTTCTCGAAAAATTGCTATTTTAAAACGAAACCTAAAAAAAATTTCAATAAAAAGTGAATCAATTTTTTTCTGTCCAATTGAAGTGAATCAAGAAAATTTTGTTCAATAAAAGTGAACCAAAAAACAAATTTCACTCGGTTTTTTCAGTGTAAAATACACTAAAATGAATTTTTTTTGGGTTCACTTTTATTGAACAAATTTTTTTTGGTTCACTTCAATTGGACGAAAAAAAATTGATTCACTTTTCATTGAAAGTTTTTTTTAGGTTTCGTGTTTAAACATTTTTCGAGAAGTAGTTTTTATTCTACCCCATTCATATTGAACTGATTGAATGTCATATTTCGAGCTTTGAAAATGTGATAAGAAATTTGCTGTGTAGATTAAGATTAGCATCCGTTTATTTTTACTCTCTATTCAGACGTTGAATGATGAAAAAGGTTGCGATTGCTTCATAGTTTACATATTCAAATGAATTTCGAATACTTAAAGAAAAACAACAGGAGCCATATGAATAAAATAAACATTCGACGGGCGTATTTTCTCATGATTTTTTTGCTTCAAACTCAAAAAATAATCTTTATTATTTGTTTGGTAAAAACCCATTTGATGCAATTATAACTTATATTAGTGATTTATTAGATGAAAAAATACGCGCAAATTATAAAACACAATTATCACTCAACTCAACGGCAAGCCTGTTTGATTGGAATGTTGTCCATTAAGCGGCCACACGATCGACTCTATCCAATCAAAATAATGAGCAACACGCGTGTAAACACCAGGCATTTCCAAGCCACAACCTTGACCGAAAGAAACGATTCCAACTATTGTTGCAATGTATGAATCACCGTCGGGAAAGTATCGCAGTGGGCCGTCTCCTTGACAACTATCATGCCTTCCTGCTGGATCGAATGCGCAATACTGCCCTTCGCTAACACCATTTTGAAGAATATTTTTGTTTATAAGCGTTTGACTGCATTCAGAAAATGACATCGACTTTAGTTGGGCTTTAAGTAGTACGTTCGATTTATTAGTTCCTTTAAATAGAAAATAAAGAAAAATAGCTCGGCCCGATGACATGCTCTTACTTCATATTTCTTTTTAGATTTATTTTACTTCTGGAATCAGTGGTACCCCATCTGGTTACAATAAGACTGTCGGCCGTATTTCCATCGCCAATGTCCATTTGCAAGCATGGTGCAATTTTACTTGTAAACTCAATGGCTTTTGATACTTTTACCAATGCTAATTTTTAAATTAAATTATGTAAATTATTAAATACCATTTAAATTTTGAAACTCTTACCAATGTCATTTTGTTTTGTTGCCGCCGAATAGTTCAGATGCCGATAATGGTCCTGATAAATATTTCAAATTTAGTGTTTAATGCGGAAAAGGGTTTTCTATACAAATGTCACCTGTATTTGATAAATTACGGCTTGCGTGCGATCATCGTCATTCTTAGCAATCTATAGATTGCGAAAAATTATATTGCATATATGCGAAAAATTCTCTAATTACATATGTTACGAAGTAGAAGTAATTTAATTTCTACTTACTTCTCCCAGTCTTGCAAAAATCGGTTTATAATCAGGTCGGACACAATGTCCCGCGGTCATAACAAAATATTCCGATATAATTGTTCCGCCGCAGTCATAAACCACTTTGTTACTACGAATGTATGCCAAAGCCGCCATCCAAGGGAACTCCCCCGGATCCGCCTCTTCACCGCCTATGATTCGTGATTTTTCGTGACCTATCTTATTCGTGATCTCATACCTTTAATCTATAAATTTAATTCTAAATCATGTTTATCTACATCGTGATTTTGTGTCACGTCTACAATAAAGCAATATCAATCAAAAGCTTCTCGAATAACACGATTTCATTTGACAAACTCTGTATAAAATGGGCGGTGAAAACGACGAGAAAGTCATAAAGTATTGAGTTCTTCACTTGAACAATTGAAACATTCAAAAATTCGAGATCAACATGAAATTCGTGGTGTTGGCTCTTCTGATTGTCGCCTGTGTTGCTTTTCCTCAAGAAGGTGGTAAATAAATATACACTTATAATAATAAATATATTAGAATTGTATGTAAAATTGAAAATAATAAGAATTCATATGACTGCCGATTTGATTCTAAATTCAAATAAAAATGTTTAATGTTTTATTGAAATCTATTTAAGAGGATGAGCCAGAGATCGATGATGAAGGTATTCCATCGGAATATGCAGACGAAAAATCTAACAAAGATGAAGGTAACATAAAAACGACGCCATTGAATTCAATATTCTTACGCTTTATTTTTACTTTACAGTGAAGGGAGCACAAGATGCTCTCAACTATGTTCTTGATTTCCTCCAAAGCTATGGTGGTGGAAATGCAAATTCAAATAGCGGAAATATAACCAAAAATGGCGCCGCGGAAACTCAAAAGAAAAAATAAAATACACAAAAATATTGATATCTTCTGCACGCTTCTGCAACATGATAATTAACAAGAAATATATGATCAATAAATTATCATGAGCAACGTAATTTTTTTGTCTTTTCACCATCATTTCATTGAGTAAATCAGAAAATCCGCTCGAAATTCGTTCATTTTGTTCAGCGGACGAATTTCAAATTTTAAATAAGAATTTTGTCCGCTCTCCAATTTGCAACTTATCCACCAGTGGTACAGGACCAACACTGTCGAATCTATCCATCACTCAAATTGCTACTTTCTGCAAACATTAGGAAAAATCGCTTTCCGATTTGAAAAATGATTCTCCGATTCAAATAGAATGCAAAATGATCGATTTGCTAATCAATTTGATTGTGAATACGATAAAAAGCGAATGGTGTTAATTTCAATTTTATTCATCGACACTACATTGCTGCTAAAAATTTGCTAGAAATCCCAAACTTCGTGTAAAAATGCATTTTTAAAATGAGTAATTGCGTTTTAAATCATTCTGCGTCATCTAATAATGACCAAACAATTTCATCGCCATGAAATCTTTGGCATGTCCACCTTTCGCGATTTCAATGTGCATCAAAAAATTCAATGACTCAATCGAACGGTGTAGTATTTGTCCAATTTTGGGTTCGATTCAATGCAAGTTGAATTTGAATACGTTTAGCAAGCGTTTGAATGGGGTATCTGTTAAATTGTCGATTTAACTGCAATCTATCGCTCAATTCAATAGTTTGATCGGTTGTTTTATCTTTGTCATCAATTTTCGGGCGACGAATTGTCCAGTACAACCGAAAAGTGCAGTAGTAAACGAGCACTTTCAATGATGTCTTTGCAATGTTCAATTCGATCCATTTTTTGATCATCGTGAATTCAACTTACGAAGTCCCAATTCTTCGGTCAAAATGCAATATACAGTGGTTTGAGGAATCCCCAATTCTATTTCAATAAAGAAGCCATAAGAAAACCATAGATTTATTGTCTAAAACGATAAAAAATAAAATTCATATATAGTTGGCGCTGCATTCTATGCAAACTTGTGTTCCGTTGCAACGGACTAAGTGGAAAGTATTTATTACATAGAACTATACGGTCAGGGATGTTATGTCGAAAACTCTGTCGAATTTTCGACATTTTTGACATGTCGAAAACCTATGGTAGACTACATAAGCAAAATCAAGTAGTCTACATCAATTTGTCGAAAACAAAAAAAAAAAACAGCAAATAGACAAATAAATGGATTTTAAATAGAACAATACAAAAAATGTGGATTTATATTTGAATTCTGTGAATTTTTCATTCGATTTTGGCTCAAAAATGTTGTATGGTACCATTAACTTTCGTTAAAATCCCTTCAAACTTTGAGAAAGTTTTTTTTTTGTGATTTTTTTTTTTGAACGATATCATACTTTATCTCCCATATGATATACACAGTTTTTGTGATTTCTTTAGATTTTTGTGCGCACTCATTGACAAAACCGTTGACCGTGCTATTCTGTAAGTCATTGAATCAAGGATGTGTTCCGGCTTCAATGAAAAATTCTAGAATAGTACCAATACTTAATTCTGGTAAAAAAGAAATGCATCGATTTACCGGCCAGTTGTGATAATATATTATCACCAACGATTGCAAAACTATTCGAAATGGTGGTTTATGGCAAAATCGACATATTTGTCAATGGAAAAATCAACCATAATCAGCATGGATTCGTGAAAAATCGATCAACCTCAACAAATTTACAAATTCAACATCTTATTTGTGCAAATAAACGCATACTGACATTTTGAAATTGCTCCTAGCAAAACAAAACCGGCAAACCTGTTATTTTTTCTCTTTCTTCCTTTAAAAAAATGTCATTCAAGTGTTTCATTCTAAATATTTTCAAAGTTTTAGGAGTTTTCAACAAAAATGAGGTTTTCGACGTCGAAAATGTAGACTACAGTTTTCGACGTAGACTACATACACAATCCAAAAAGTCTTGTCGAATACCATCCCTGACTATACGTGAATTTTATTTTTTTTATCACTTTGGGCAGCAATCTTATCGCTTCGTTCACTGAATATTTCTTATTATTCTTGATGAATTCGCGCACTTTTTTAATGTTTTTTTGCGGATATTCCACTTTTTGGGCGACCTGATCGTTCGTCATCATTTAGCGATTCTCTACCCCATTTAAATCGTGTGAACCACTCGAAAACTCGCGTGCGGGATAAACAATCACGACCATATGCTTGTTGGAGCATTTGGAGCGTTTTGGTAAAAGTTTTACCAAGTTTAACACAAAACTCAATTGCAGCTCTTTGTTTGAAATCCATTTTGTCACCGAGAGCAAAAGATACTAAAAAATAAGACGCAATATCTTGACATATTTACATCCGATCTTCGCGAAACTTTCACACAATGTAAATGAGAACTCCCTCTTTTTAACGCATATTATATCCAGTAGGTGGCGCCACTAATATCTATTATTTTTAAAAAGTTCCGGAACTTTTGGAATGGAGGGTGTACGCTTTGTTCCACACATATTTCATTCGATAAAAATCACCGGCCAACTTTTGCAATCGTTTACATGTTTTACCGATCGAAAGTAAATCGTAGAGTAATATCAATTCAAATATTTCGTGGAAAAAATCGACATTAAGTTTCAAAATTGGCGATGATTCATCGTTTGGTGAAGATGACTCATTTGATTCCACGTCGACTTTTTCATCTTTATTCATGTCCAAATTTGAAATTCTTGACCATAAATTACCCATTATTGCTGTAATGAAATGTTAAGAGAGTGTTAAAATTACAATTACAAATGAAACATTTATATTACGCGACTTTTTAGTGAAATCAAATTCTGGTACTATTCATTCAAACAATAAATTATTTCAAGCAATATAAATACACACTTACTTGATTGATATTAATACCACCGCACCAAAAGAAATGTATGTCTCTATTGAATGACAGACCTTGATCAACAAAACAGCTGTTTTTGACAGAAAATGTCTAAGAATCTATATAGATACGTTATCATACACGTATATTATGTGTACACGTATGTATGTAAATAGTTCAATATATTCACTTAATATACGATTTATTTCTGAACGGGTTTAAGTCAACAACAGAGAAGATCGATTCTGCTAAAGCTCTTTTGGCTTGTTTTATATAAGTCTTTATATTTGAATCTTTGAATCATCTACTTGAACTAAGGATGCCAGACTTTTGAGTGGTGGATTCGTATCATATTGTATTTTTATTGAGATCTATCAAATAAGTAAATCGTCATAAATATATGTTTATTTGGATGCATCGAATTTTAACATTTGGCAATATTCAAAAACCCAATGTGATTTTAGATGGAACACATCGAGACTAACATCTTTTGTTACAGGAGTTTTTGTGATATAGCACTCAATTTTTAAGATTCAAAGATTCCGAGGAAACATTTAAAAAAGGCGTTTCGAATTTTGCGTAATTTTAAAATTCGATGTACTGTATTTCTTTCCCACACAGAGTCATGCCAGCTCCAATTTAAATTTTTTAAATTGTCCACAATTGCATGTACGATGAATAAATAAATTTAATGACTAAGTAAAATGTTGCATGTTTACACACAGTGAATTAATCATTGTTGCCATTGCCTCCAATCCAAAATGCTTATATGCGCTATGAATTCCAATGCTTTGTGCATGTCAAAATGTTTGAAAAAAAAAATTAAGGAATATATTGATGTGGTTTATATGGTTTTAGAATACTAATAGAAACACTTTTGACCGTTTCTCGTTTGAATGGTACGACAACATTGTTGTTTTTCTCACGCCATACGGTCCAAAATAATCGAAGGGTGCAGTAATAAATGAATTCAATGACACTAAGCACTGATACGCCCAAAAATAATCCAAGCAAACCGCCACAGGTGGCCAAAAAGTCGTTGTATGTTGATGTCTCAGAGCGTTGTAGTGTTGTAACTTCATGATCAGCAAAAGATACGGACAAAAGTGACGCCTGAAACCTGTAGGAAAAATTGCACTGTAGGCGCTATATAGATCGCTATGAATTTCAATATACCTTGAATAATTTTGTTTAAATGAGTCAAAAGTTCGTAGAATGTGCGTCCAATTAAACCTGGTTCGATCGATGTCCGCATCATACTTTATGTATTGACATGAAGCTAAGCATTTACACTTAGCACGAAACTCTTTAACCTTATCACTTTCCAACTCATCTTCACCAAAAAATTTCTTTGTTGCATTTTTATAACAATCAATATTAGCCACTCCACAAATTTTTGTCTTCTTATCTCCTGAAAAATGATTAATTTAAAGTCATAATTACATTTTTCAAATGATAGAGTAATTTCACTCGTACTTGGCATCGAAAAGTTCACGCAATCACACTCGTTCCGAGTGAAATTGGCCAAACACTCCTCTTCACAATTGTTTTGGGTGTAAATTTTGAAGAAATGCAACTGGCGCTCTGATTGATAGAAACATTGTCTTTGTCTTGGCGAATAGTGGCGTAAGATGTTTGATGTCATGACCATTTTCGGTTTAACCAAAATTTCGGATTTTTCGGAATTTAAAATTTCAAAGAAACGTGATAGTACTTTTTGTCTTTCACCTGGCATGGTCAAGGTCACTTTGAAACCTTGAATGGGCCCGATACACATGTAGTTAAAGTCTTCTACAGATAGACTCATAACTATAAACAATGCGGCTCCTTGTTTTGCATTGAATACTCGATATGGGTACTCTTCGCTTCTTAACCCTTTTTCATATCCCTTTTCAGGGCTCCAATTTGATATGCTTCGACTGTTGCTTACTGTCATCATTTCAGGTGCGATACTGAAAAAAAAAATATGATGTCATCATTCGTGGGAAAACAGTCACAAAAACTACTCCACACGACATTGAGCATGAAGATGAATGAAACCTACTTGTTAGTATACATTTCATTTGAGTTGAAGGAATTAAATTGAAAACATAGTCCGTCCCTTGTGAAAACAGTGGAAAATAGGTCTTTACATGGGTACATTTTTTCTCGCCAGCTACAGTACAGCAATGTATTATGAAGAGCCAACGAAACGTCTTCAATAATTTTATAAATCGAATTATTTGCAAATTTATTCTTAGATGGCGGTACATGATGTATGAATGGATTTATACATATATGGAGCAACGTTTCCAAACGAATCGTGCTGAAACAGGAGACATATTTTAATGATCGAAAGTATAGAATCGAATCAAAGGTTCCTACTCAATATGCGATAGAAGTTCGGGTGCCACCGAATAAATTCTATACGAACTTAGAAAATCCAGTTTTTCTTTGTAGAATTTTGATTGTGGACAGACTGTGATCATGGGAAAAGGAATCTTTGAAATAGGCTCTTCCTTCTCTGTGAAGCTCACTGTAACTGGATTTGCACGCCACTTGAACCAAATATTTAGAATATAATAATTGCACAACAAAACCGAAGAACTGAAGGCAATTATCCAGAATATTCTGAAAAAAATTGATCAAATCGTTATTATTCAAAATTGGAGAAAAAATTCAATGCATCAATTTTACCTTTCGGTCCAGTTTCGATTTCGTTCCCCAATGTAACGAACACCATGAATGGCTATATGTAATAAAATGAAAAGGAATTTTTCAAGTTAAAGGTGAAAAGGAAGCATTAAAAATCAAATATATCCTACTACTATTTGCACAAAAATCCTTGAAAAGTTTTCGAAATATCAACATAATTTATTGTTCAAAGTTTCTAGGTTTTTCAGAACAAGTGTTTTCTCTCCTATTCCTCGTGAAAATAAACACCATTCTTCCGCATGTGGTTATTATATTTCAAATTTGAACCAAAAATCCATCAGAAACAATTTTATCACTCATTAAATCGATACATTGCCAGGATAATTATTATCTAGTTAACCTTGTATTGACTCATACTAATTACGCGGGAATAACGCCAATGATCATCCCAATTATTCAGTGTCTACTGTCTAGTTCAGTTACATTACCAAAGTCAATTATCGTTTAATGTTTATTATTTCGTTTAAAATAACGCAAATATCATCCTCATTATCCTAGGTGTTGAAGAAAACATAAATTTAGATTTGAACGGTAGGTTACGTAAATTATTTGTCAAATTATGATTTAACAATACAGGTGCTATGTTTCAAATTAAACTTCGTGTTTTTGCTCAATTATAGGTCCAAGCATACAATCTGTAATGTATTTTATGATGACAAAATAATGCCTCTTAAATAAAAAAATAAACACGATCCATTGCTTACATTTGAAACTGTGATAAAAGCATTTTGTCACCCCACACGGTCATTGTCAAGTTCCACCCTGTGGATTTTTTTAATCACTGTTGTCAACACGCGAAAAATCACACTTTAAAAAAATATATCGATTTGAATTGTGCATGTTTTCAATATAGCGTGTGAACTGAAAACCGTTCAAAAACATCAAATTGTATCGAAAAAAGTTCATCCTTATTCCTTTTTATGGGAGTCGATTGATTTAATGGTAACGCGTGTAATAATTGTTTCCCGTTTGAATGGTACGACAACATTGTCATTTCTCGCACGCCATACGGTCCAAAACAATCGAAGTGTAACAAAGTAAATCATTTCCACGATGCTCAGCAATGAAACCCCCAAAAATAAACCAAGCAAACCGCCACAAATCGCCAAAATGTCAGTAAAAGTGTACGATTCAGAGCGTTGTAATGTGATAACTTGATGATCAGCAAAAAACACCGATAAAATTGACAATTGCGTACTAAAAAAATCAAATTCAGTCAATTTGATAGAGAAAATTCATTCAAATCTGATTTAAATTACTCGTTTAAATTTGGTGACTGCAAATTCAATGACTGTAGCACATGCAACCAGTCGAATTTGGTACGATCGATATCGGCTTCATACTTAATGGCGGTGCATGCAGGCAGACAGTTACACCTTGCACGAAACATGTTAATGGAATCATTTTTCAAATCGTCCATTACATCTTCACCGAACAACTCCTTTTCGGCATTTTTGTAACAGTTAATATTTGCCTCGCCACAGATTTTTGTATGCTCTTCCCCTGGGAAATCATATAAATGAAACATTAACAAGTGTTTCACTTTAAATTAATTGTGATTATACTTGGCATTGAAAATTTCACGCATCCACACTCGTTCCGAGTGAAATTGGCCAAACACTCCGCTTCACAATTGTTTTGGGTATACATTTTAAAGAAATGCAATTGACGTTCGGAATTGAAAAAACATTGCCGTTGACTTGGATAGTAGCGATGGAGTTTATTCGATGTTCTTATCATTTTCGGCTTAATCAAGATCTCCGATTGTTCCTTTAAGAAGCGAAGAGTAAATTTATTATTAACATTATTAGGGAATATGGGACCTCAGATTTTCCCGATTTACCGATGTTAAAACTTGAAAATAACGCGATGATGATTTTCGTGTGTCACCCGGCATAGTCAAGGTCACTTTGAAACCTTGAATGAGACCCGAGCAGAAATAGCTAATATCATCTGTTGATAACCGTAAACCAACCATCAAAGCAGCTCCTTGTTTTGCATTGAACATACGACGGGGGTATTGTTTTTTTCGAAGTCCTTTTTTGTAGCCGCTGTCAAGGCTCCAGCGTGTTACATTTTCATTATTTGTAATGGTCATCATTTCAGGGGCCATACTGGAAAAATGGTCAAATGTCAAAAGCGAGAAAATCGAAGATTTTTTTGCTAAAACTCACTTTTCGGTATACATTTCGTGTGAGTTGAGGGCGTTGAAAGTGAAACACAGACCATCCTCAGTGAAAACTGATGCAAAGAGATCTTTACATGGATACGTAGTGCTTCGCCATTCACAGGTAAGCAGCGTCTCTTCGAAGGTTGGTGATAATTCCTCGATGGTATCATAAATCGAACTATTGGTCCATTTCTCCTCAGTGTACGGCTCGAAGAAATCGTTTGGGCATACATGAAATAATGCTTGCAATCGCATTAACCTAAACAACATGCAAATTAGAAAATATGCTCAATGTTTGGATTGGGAATGATTTGGTACATACTCAATGTGCGATAAATTCTCTGGTGCGCTTACGTACATACTATATGCAGACGTTAAATCCAATTTTTCTTTGTAGAATTTTGTTTGTTGACACACGGTGATTTGGGGAAAAGGAATCGCTGAAATTGGTAACTCATTCTCTATGAAACTCACTGTTACCGGATGATAACGCCATTTCATCCAAATATTTCGAATTGACGCACCACACAATAACAACGATAAAATGAAAGCACAGATCCACCATAATCTGTTGAAAAAAAAGCAAAATTAAAGTGGAGATCAGTATGTGATCACAGTACTACTCGGCAACTGCACCAAAGCCGATCCTTCACTAATTTTGCACAACGATCGTTCCTCCTTGAAATCATTCACAATTCAAGCACCATTACGCAAAATCAATGAAGGAACTATATTGTTGCATGCAAATACTTAATTTTGATCAAACTCACCTTTCACTCCAATGCCGTTTTGGTTCAGTAATGTAGCGAATGCCATGTATCGTACTTTTGGAGCAGAATTCAGTGAACAGCTTACGCATTTTCACAGTTGCACAAGATACTTGCCAAAGTTAATCAATTGCTTTGTTTTTATTTATGTTTCTTCATATTCCACCGCAAAATAAATATTCATCTTTTATCCACACTCTGTTTGTGATTAAAGAAGCGAAAGGGAAATATTTTACACAATCCATGTATTTGATTCCTGTTAAAAAGCTAATTTATTCACGTAATGTGTTCACTTTATTTTACGCTAATTATTGTTTATTGAGGAGTCCACAGTGTGGACTGATTACATTCAGAAAGCAATTGCCATTATTGCACCTATGCACGCGATACTGATGATTTTATTTATTTTTTATTGGACGTCTTTATTCATTTTATTAAATTTCCGGACAAGAGAAACGGAAATGGAATATTTTCCACAAGAATTCGTGGTCAACACACATGCGCACTGGGGGGATTTCGGGATCTACCAACCACCTGGACTTGATGACGTCCGGATTTCCCCCTCTAACATTTTCAGACTTTACCTCCCCCAAGATTTGATTACGTCCGGATTTCCCACCTATAGCTACAGTTGGGACTAATAACATCAGACTAGTAAGATAGTTATTACTTATTACTAATAATTTCTAATAACTGGTAATAAGACGTCATCTTATTAGTGTAATAAGTATAGTAATAAGTATAGTTATTAGA